TGAGATGGTCTAAGAATTTTACATTTTCCAACCCTTTCCTTTGATTTTTCTCCCCTCACACTTGGTTTCCTTCTCCTCTGTTCATTTTCTGGGTTTATTCTATTTTTAAAAACATCATTATTTATAGTGATAAGAAATTGCCTTGTACCACATCTTGATGCTGGTTGTACTGTTTTCTCCATTTGGAGATTGATTTGGTTCTGTATTTGCTGCATTTCTGTATCTCTTTGCAGACTATGGGCCTGATCCAAAGCCCATCAAAGTCAGTGGAAAGACCAACTCCCCTTGGATTCAGTGGGTTTTGCATCAAGCCCCATGTGGTCAGGTCACTCATCACCAACAGAAGAAAAGTTGTATTTCTTAGAATTTATTTTATGTATATATAATAAACACATGAATAGCTGAAACATTTCATTTTGTCCAAAGGAGAGAAGTGTGCATTAGGTTTCTTTGTTTTTGTATTCACTTTCACTTTGAAAAGCAGCGGCTTTGTAGTTTCAGTGCTCAAAATCAGTTTAAAAAAAAAAATCAGTTACCGATGTTTTCCTGAAATAGTTGCAAATGGAATTAATATCATGAAGAATGCGTCTCATTCATCAAACTTTTCATCTATGTAATCTGCTTGCAAACATCAGCTGCTTCTTCAGCTGGAAGGCTAACCTTAAAAACCTATCCCTTATGTTAGTTTCTATGGCACCAAAAGTATTTGATATGGGCTTCAGTGCCTCCTCCAGAGCTCACAGTTCTTCCCTATAAAGAAGAGAAGTATTGATGCTTTTTAAAGACTAGGTTAACTAATTAGCTGGCAAAGTGCATTCCCTGTAGTGAAATATGGCTCTTTTGCATCTCCCACTGGAAGCCATCTCCCATTACCGCCTAAAACTTAGTTTTGCAAAATGCATAAATAACGGTACTGAAACTTGGAACATTTTTGTCATTTACTTCATGAAGTCTCCAATTCTGTACATTTTGGATGGGTTCTCTAGGTTCTATTGCAATACAAACTGATAAAAGTACGTGTGTGTTGGGGGGTGGGAGGGAGAAGAGGGTATATTCGTTCAGTATAGACATCCACCTAGGTACATGCTTAACTGCTTCCCCCACCCAAATACTTCCTACTTTTATTATTATTGTTTTAATTAGGAAATAGAGCTAATTTGTAACATTAGTGGAAACATCTGATTGGTACTGCTTATGTTGATCTGATTTAAATATGAATGATTGCAATATCTGGATTCATCAGTATTTTGAAAATCCAAGATATTCATAACTGTGCTTTTTTAACTTGGATTTTTGTAAAATTTCATATTTTACATAGGATTGTTAGAATGTCTTGTCTAGGGATGAAATACATTTCATAAAACTGGTTCTATAATCAAATTCTGAGAATGCTTTGATTGAGTAGAGTAGAGTAAGGTTTTAAACATAGCTTAAGCCTCATTTTACCTTAATTAAACAGGAGTGGGTTATCTTGACTAAAGTAAGGCTTAAGCAAGTATTTACAATATAAATGAACAAAGCTTCTTAGAATTGCAGTTCTCCTTTGTATTATAGATGAGAGCTTAGTAGAGAAATAAAATTGAAGCACTGAACTGTCATTGTTAAACTTAATGAGCATTAACAAATATGTAAGAAAATAACCATTGCCTACATGCTTATGACTAAAATGTATACAAGCATGTAAATCAGTGACCTCCTTGATAGCAAAATAGACAACTAGATTAATGTATGTTGCAAAGGATGGGCGACTAGGTCTATTAGGTTACTGATTCAGACCATGAACTTTATCTCAATATACTGCATTTAACTTTTAAATAAGGTTTAGGAGAACATGCAACATTTTGCTTACTAACAGCTATATTTTACTAAAGGCAGAAATTGGCTAGTCTATAAAAATTAAATTATACTCCTTTTACTGTATCTAGTCAAGAGGAAGAAACTAATTACAAGATCATACTGACAAATAAATGCAAATGCACATTTTTATAGACTGGGTTAAATATTCAAACTCAAATATTATTATAAAATGAAAATCAATATTTGAAATACTTTTCAGCTTTCAATGATAAGCACATAAAACTGAGTTTTAAAATGGCCTGATAAAATAAATGTTGAATTATTAAATGAAATTTGTGAGAATGACACATTTTATTTTACACACATTTAAATATCAACAAGAAGAAAACCCAATAAGAGATGATTAACTGAATCCTCCTTGCTTTACTCCCAATCTTTTCTAGAACTGACTGAGGAGCTTAACGTGTACTGCAAATCTCACTCAATTTAAATAGTTAAGTTAAAAAATAAATTTACTTCTTCACAGGAACTTATAACTCTCTAACTTAAAATGAATAGGAGCTGCATTTACAGAACAAAGCCAAATAAGAATGAAGTCTGCTATGCACTGCATGACAGGTATCTATGGGAAAATTCAAACGTCAGGCCAGAGACTTTCATTATGGGCAATGTAATATTGCCCAGGTAAAAGAATAGAAAGAACATTTCATTAAAAATGTTTCTCTACCTTTATTTAATCTATTGCAAACCAGTTTCTTTGTAGTGGTGAAGACAAGTTTATGCAGCCATATATTTTTAATACCCAATCACAATCATTCATATTTTCAATTTAACGTAGTCACACGAGCTTAATCAGCCAGTTTGCAAACTCAGTTGTTCATCTGATTTTTTTAATCTGAACAAGTCTGTTGTACGTACCTGCTATGTGAGTGGCTTCCACTTAAATCTTTTGGATACCTATACACTCAAGTAAACCATTCCTTGCGTAAGGAGGTCTGACTGCAAACACTTCTTTGTCTAACATTCAGCCGAAGACAAGATTACAGATGTTTGTTTGGAGGCGGTTATAGTTTGAAATTGTACATTAGAATCGGGGTGACCAGATGTCCTGATTTTATAGGGACAGTTCCGATATTTGGGGCTTTTTCTTATATAGGCTCCTATTACCCCCACCCCCTGTACCGATTTTTCACACTTGCTGTCTGGTCAGCCTAATTGAAATAAAAATGTTGTGGTAGGGGAAGGGGATAAGAGGAAAGAAAATGGCAAGAGTTAAATGAGGATAATTTACATGTTTTACTGGGAGGGATCTGTATTTGACTACATAGGATTTGTATAGCACTTCAAACTCCTCCACATCATCCATTCAAACCTATTTAAAAGCTTATAGAATATTTGGGGTGCATGTGGCAAAGCCTTCAAACTGCATTTTAAATATTTGTCTAAAATTATGCATAGGTTCAAAGCACCTCACAACCCATAACTGTCTCAAACCTCTACCACCTTCTCTGAATAAATACTCCTTTCTTGAAAGAAGATACTCATGTTTGAAGTAAAGAGAAAAACGTGTTTTTACCCAAAATATGTTCACATTTTAAAGTTGAGTTCTCTTATTGAATGGTGACTAATCTTCCCTTAAGTATATATCTTTTTCTTTCTGTTCAGAACAAATTCCAAATACTTTACAAAGTAGCTAGAAGTGCAGTACTATGTGTATGGTGTTACCTGCATTGAGAAGAATGCCAACAATGCATTCTCTATTTACTAAAGAGACAATTTTACCACTTTCTCATGATTTGCAGGGCATTAATCTATGGCTAGCTGTAAGATCAGAGTTGCTGATAAATACCTTGGTAAATATCACTTAGTTCTGTAGAAGATTTTAATAGTATTAATCACTTTGGTTTAGGTGGAAACTATTTTACATTTCAAGACCTGTAGCTATACTTACTTTTCCCATTAACAGAGGGAATCTGGTATTGTTGGAAGGAGACAGGCTGCAGCTTTATTTACATAAACACCAAAACTGTCCTCTATAATGTCCTTAATCAACAGGCATGTATAAATTATTGCCCTCAGCTGTGAGCCATTATATTCATCCGAGATCCTTTCCCTCCAAATCAGTGGTACTACATACTCCCATCTATATAGATCTTCTGGATTCCTGCCTCTTGTAGATGGGTTTCTCAACCTGAACCGCCACTCATCTGTGTAAACGTCGTATCGAATTTGAGGAACTCCTGAGAGCCCGTACTATCCTAGCTCCTTCTGCCCCTACAAACATCACAGCTAGAGGCTATGATAGCAGCAGGAACCTATATGAAATAGCAACCAGCCAACCACTTTTCTCTATCACAGTGCCCAACCGAAAAGTCTCTTATAAAGCTGGAACTTTTTACCCAGTTAGATGACTATGATGGGTCCTGAAGTTTAACAAACAAAACACCTGCCCCCCCCAAAATCTCTAAAAATATCTTGAAGTATTTGATGTGATGGATTGATTTACAGCCCAGCCCAGAGATGATTTAGGGAGAGAAGAACAAACATGGTTGGCTTTCTCTTGAAAATATTAGTGATCTTTGAATAAAAACTAAAAGCAGTGCACTGTATTCTAAAATTAATTAGAACTGTGACAGAGCCCCTAAAGAATTTTCAGAGATAACATCCATATGCCCAATTCATTCTTTCAGCAATGCCCACTTGAATTCCAATATGTTCTTATCTATCATTGGCCTATCTTTCTCTGCTCACTGTCTTGTGGATGAAAGCCCATAGCTCAGCTTCCTATCCCATACGATCAACCTTTACTCTATGTGAATTGCTGGAATAAATAAAGAAAAGAAGGAATTACTAATTTAATGCACTTTTCCTCCATCACTGGGGAAAGGCCCATGTAATTAACTATAATGAGATTAAACTAATTTGTTGTTAATTTTCCAATGCTGTAAAACTAAATCTGACCATAAGACCATATTTTAACATCTTTATTAACATTTGTCTTGTAAGTTTCAATATGTTCAATTTTAAAAGAAAATTATCCTAAAGTATCAGAGAAATACAATAAATATGAGACAAAGTCCTTTTAGTAATAACATAATATGCCTTAAGCTAAAACGTCATACTAGAGAAAAATGAACAAATGCAGCTAAGAGCACCAAACAATACCAAATAAACCAGGAAGAGTGTAATTATTAAGTTCTTACCAGAACTTTTTTCCATTACTTCTTTCTGGCACATGTCTTGAACATTCACTGTGCAGTTCACAATGAACTCTGGAGCAGAGCAGTCATTATTTAGCTGGAATTCTTCACACTGGTAACACTGTATTTGCAGACCAAATCCTGGAATAGACAGAGTTTTGCTCAGAGTAGATCTGCATATGCCAAAAAAAATGCTACTTATTTTTTCTTCACTCTGCTGTTCCTATCTATTTAGCAGCAAAGCAAAAATATGGGTTTTGCCAAACGATTCGTCTCCAAACCTGGCCCATTTAGCTGAGGCTATGCTTTATAATTACCCATTTTCTTATAATCAGCTAACTATGTACAAACGGGGAGTCTACATGAGCGAAGTAAGCCCTAGCCAACCATTCACTTTTTTGAATTATCCAAACTCCCTGGGGAGCAACAGCAAACGCTGCAGCCAGCAGGGGGCAGAGTACAAAGAACAGGACTGAAATGAAATTGATACCACTTACCCACCGACCCGGCACTCTCAGCTCCCACTCTACCCCGCGGGAGTCCCCTTAAAGCAGTGGGATAAGAACTATCCGTGCTTCGGGGGACAGTAACCGGGCTAACAGATGCGCTTCAGCTCTTATCTGTGCCGTCGGGTTTACTTAACTACTAATTAATTACAAATGATTTAATTACTATTTTGCCATGCACAATTACAGCTGCAAAGCAGTCTTCGCGTCCCTCTTTTATCATGTAAACTAGGTCCTTCTCCAACACGAAGTGCAGGAAACTGTCACAGGCCCTCCATGCTGGGGGGAGGGACTGCTCGAGGTGAGCCGCTTCTCCACTACATCGTCACCCAGAGGAGCTGTCCCCGGGCACGTCAGGGAAGTGGGCGCTGCACGAAGAGAGCCCCGCTGTTCCCTCTGCATCTCGCTGGGGCCCCCTGGCAGAGCTGGTCCCTCGTGCATCTCACAGGGGGCAGCAAAATGCCAGAGGGGACCCCGAGCCTGGCTGACGATGCCGATTCAGTTCACACCGCCGCTGCTGCCAGGGCGCTGGCTGGTAGAAGGGACCCAGAGCCGAGCTGTTCCCGGGCACCATACGGGGTGCTGGGCTCAGTGCTAGGGGCTGCTGGAAGAGAGCCGGAGCGATGCTGTTCTCCATGCAATCGCCCACAGGAGCTGGCCTCGGTCAGTGCTAGGAGCGCGGGGACGGGGGGCGAGCGCTGCGCAGGGAGCTGGCCTCAGTGCTGGAGACTGCGAGCAGCGCGCGATGACCCACAGCTGAGCTGATCCTCGCGCACCAGCGGGGCGGGCTGGTGCATTGCCCAGAGGAGGGCGGGCGAGCGGCCAGCGGGGCACGGGCTGGGCAGAGGCTCCCCGCGGGGCGCAGTGCCCGGGGAAGGGGCCGCCCCGCCAGCGGAGTAGCTGCCAGCAGCTGTTGAATGGCAGCGCGAACTTTGCAGCGTGGCGGGGAGCGGGTGGCAGCGCCGAGCCCGGCGGGGAGCTGCGCCGGGCGGCTGGGAGAGCCGGGCGCTGCCCACGCCACGCCCTGCCCCGGCCCCCAGCGGCGCGCTGCCCCGCGACTCCTACCTGGAGCCAGGACCAATCCCCAGAAAGTTGCCGCGCCGAAGAGGAGCCACATCCTCGTGGAGCCGGGACCCCGGGCTGCGCGGCCCCCGCCGCGGCGCATCAGAAGCAGTCGGGCAGCCGGGGCGCGGTGCCGCCGAGCCTCTTCCCCGCGCCGCTGCGGAGAGCAGCTCCGGGAGCCCGCATCGCCCGCCCGGCTCCGCGCTGCCTCCAGGAGTTGGGAGCGGAGACTGGCCGGAGCTGGGGGGGAGTCGGAGAGAGAAAAGTCTCCCTCTGCCCCCCTCCCCCGCACCATGTGACAGGGGAGGGGAGAGGGGCCCTCCCGGCACACTCGGGAAAGGGGGAGGGAGAAAGTTCTGGGGCGGGGGGGAGGGAGGGAGCCGTCCCACCCCCCCCGCCGGCGCTGATCGAGAGACCCCCCCCCCGCCCCTGGGAACGGGCTCCCGCTCCTGCCCCTAATGCATGTGTGTGTGTGTGTGTGTGGTTGGGGGGGGGTCACTACCTAGCCGAGCCCCCCCCCAAGGCGGTGGGGGCTAAGGCGCTGAGCTACTGATACACACTGGCCGGTGGGTCGGGCTCTGCCCCTGCCCCATCCTGGGCTGCGGGGCTTTGTCCCTGCGCTGCAGCCCCACGCGGTCCGGGAAGGGTAGGGAGACACCCCTCTACCTACCCCCCCCCCGAGGTTGGAGGGGGGTTCCTTGCAGGGGTGCGGGGTCTCCCGCTCTGCATTTTCAGCCCCCCCTGGCTGCAGGGAGGGCTCTGCCTTTAACTAGCACACACCTCCCAGGCGGCAGGGGCTCGGCTGCCCGCCACCCACACAGCAGGGACCCGTGGGGACAGACGGGCGGTCACCCCCGCCCCGGGCGGAGCGGTCACGAACCTCCAGCTTCTCACCCCCAACGCCTCCCCTGGCATGGGGGAGTTTACCAGTGTAGGGGGCCTCAGTCCCTAAGTTACCTAGTTCGGGGGGAGGGGGAGACTCTGACCCTAATCCCCAGTGTGTGTGTATGGGGGTGGGGTAGGGGGCATTGACCTTTACCCACCCACCTGTGTGTTGGGGGGGGTGTTTGACCCTAACCCCCCAGTGTGTGTTGGGGAGGCGCTGCCCTTAACCTGCCCATCTGTGTTTCAGCGGAGGGGCGGGGGCTCTGCCCCAACCCAGCCACCGGTGTGTGTTGGGGGGGGGGGGAAGGAATCTCACCATAACCCAGCCACGTGTGTGTGGGAGGACGGGACCTCTCTGCTCTGTCTTGCAGGGTAACTCCCCCCCCCCCCCCCCCCAGGGGTTGGTGGGGGGGGCTCCCCCCCCCCCCCCCCCCCCCTAGGGGGGGGGGGGGGGGCACAGCCGCGTGCCCGTCGAGAACGTGCGGGAGGCGTCGGCCGGGTGGGGGGGCGAGCGGGCTCGGTGGGAGCACGCTCATTGCTGGCTAGCGGAGCTGTGACCCGGCGCGGCTCGCTCCGTGCAGGAGGAGGCTCGCTCCCCTCCCGGGGCGATGCCCGCGTGCAGTAGTTCACAGCGCTCCGGAGCATGCCCGCCCCCGCCGGCTGAGCGCGCCTCGTGCCCTGTCTGCTGAGGAGCCAGCGGTCCCGTGCCATGGTGGGTGCGTGTTGACTCCCTGGAAAGCGCTGCCTGCAGCCATAAAGCGCCTTCCCAGCTGAGCCGCCCGCCAGGCGGATCTGCAGCCGGGGCAGGGCAGCACCCTCCCCCCCCAAAGGTGCCGCCACACTGGCCGCAGCGAGGAGCGTTTCAGTGACTGCCCCCTCCAAGCTCTCGTCTGGCATAACGTGGAAGCGAGTGGAGGCTATTGGGGCCACCCCCCGTGGCGGTGCCTTTCATGCCTACAATCCGCTGCGAACTTCATTTGTGAGATGAAGAACTAGTTGAAGTAAAATGATGGTTTTCATTGTACAGCCCATTACAACTTGCGCCTTGCATCATGCCTCCTTCCCCAGCCTCATCCTTCGGCAACCCACATGCTTCCCTTTGATCAGTCACAATCTTGTCTGCAAGCAGAGAGGTTTGAATTAAGCTTAAATTACTTTTTAGTTGCCATGTCGAGAATTTGTTTGAATGATTGAATTCCAGCTGCACATTTATTATTTCTGGAGCAGCGAGGGCTAGTTGATTGGAGAAGGGAAATGGTTTGCACAATGTTTTGCATGCATAGGGTATCATAGAATTGGTTATGTTATTCAAAATATTTCTAAGTTATTTTATTTGCTTCCCATTGCTTCCTTGGCTTTGCTTGAAGCAATGATATTTTCTTGGACGATTAATTCGTGAATCCATCTCATTAAACAAATTAACCCCAACATGGACTACTTGTCCCTGGGAAAATATATATCTTTAACCATTCCCGTAACTGTGATATGAACTTTATTTAGAAATAAATTTCAAAAGGACAATGCAAGTTTAAGTCTGACATTATTACTTAAAATAACAAATTAAAATGTAACAAATTGCACAAAGTATTTTAACAAAATAACACTGATCATACAATATCATAAAGATTAACAGATATTTGCTAAAGCAACAGTAGAGTCTAGAAATATCCCAAATATACCTAGTTTACAGAAAGATTGCTGTACAAATGCAGTTATAAATACTTCACAACTAGAAAAAATACACATAACCTTTGAAATAGACTTCCCCTTACATATAAAGTCTTTATAGGAAAAAGATATGTTGAATTAAGAGTTGTTAGCACCAAAAACATTTTTTTTAGTTTTACAAAAGTTTCTATCACAAATATGAATTTTATTTCAGTTTTCCAGGATTCCTAGATGGAGTTAAAATTAAGGTGGTCTGAGGGGGAAAAAATCAACATACCACATTCAGAAATTCGTATTAAATGGTTACAGAGGAAAGAGAAATAGGTAAACTATAAAAGTAAATACTGCAGTTAGAAATAAAGTCCAGATCCTGCAATCCTTTACTCAGGCAAAACTCCCATTGAAGTCAAATGGCAAATCACTTTGACCCTGATCTTCCAAACACTTATGCACATGAGTAACTTCATTCTTTATGAACTCAGTGGGCTGCTCAGATGCACAAGTAGTAGTAGGATCTGGGTATTTGATTCCAACCATTCTCGTACTGTCTCAAACATCAAAGCCCTCTTGAAGTATCAATAGATACATGTTAAGGAATTACACCAACTAAAATGCACATATCCCTAGAGAATCTTATGTGAAATTGCACTAAAATAAAAAAAAAATTACAAAGTGTATGTTGTAAAATGGTCCAAGAAGGTTTATTACAGACAATTTGGCAGGCTCAAGTTTATTTTAAAGCAGTGTTTCTACATACAGTTTTAAGACTAGAACAATTATAAATCTTTCTTTAAAAAAATCCACTAACTTTGCTTGTTAATATTAACATCAACTTTTAAAAGTTAGTAATCTGTCATTTCAGGAGCATGGCACCATTTAATATTTATTGCTTTTTTTCCCTACAAATATATTTTTTCAAGAAAATTTACAACTTCTGTACAAGTATTCATAAAAAAGTGCAAAATTAAGACATTTTGTATAACAGCTTTTGCGTTCAATTTTCAGTCTCATGCATCACAATAAATGCAGTCTTATCTTTCCTTATTGCTGTGTCATGAAAATAAGTCAGGAAATACCCTTCTGTGAATCCAACAATTTAGGATAAAGTTTTTCAGCAGTTGTCCCTTTCTTTTTTTCCCCTCAGTTCCTTAAGTGCTCCATTCTCAGCCCACTGGAAAGTGTCTTTATACATCATTAGAGCCTTGGCTGGCACAGGATGAGAAGCTATCATATAAAGAATCACTCAAAGATTCTAAATTGTCTACACCATGCCTATCAGAGCTATTTAAAGAAGCTTCTTCATTCTTTCCATTTTCTTCCTTTTGTCCTTCAACCTTGTTCAGACAATTCTTCTCTTTTTCTAATAAAATGACATTATTGCTGTTAAATTTATTGAGAGACTCCAGGGAAATTTTAGATAATCTAGTCTCAGAATCTTCCCTTGTTTTTTCAGCTTGTTTCAATTTCTGTAATAAGTAAGGAAAATATTAGAAACATATTTCTTACAAAAATAAAGCTATCCTATGTACACAGTCAATTATTTGTTTGTCCAACATTCACAGTGTTAAAGGAATAGATTGTTAGAGGCTTGTACCTAAATCCTCCAGTATAATTAAATGGAATAATAAAGTCCATTTTGGGGTTAAATCATAGCTTTAATGATTCTGCTGAGACAAATAGGACTCAATTTGCAAAACAGTTAAGTCCAATTTACATTTTAAGTGGCAGATTCTGGAATTTGTATGTGTAAAATATCTTCAGCCTCTTCATAGTAATTTACATTTTCCCTCGTCACACTTTATTTATTTATTTATTGTAAGGGTAAATGAATATTTGTCTATGAGTTGAGTTTGGAGTCTGCCAAATAACTAACATGCAGTGCACATATTCCGAGGGGGAAAATATATTTTCTGTATGATACAGGCACATATGAAACTTACTAAAAAATAACCTAACATTTTGCATGTGTAAGGCTATCGATTTCCATGAACCAAAAGCCTCCCTAATAGAAATGAAAGCAACAAGAGAGGAAATTACACTGAACTGATCCAATCCCCACAGACCAGAATCAATCAGATATTGGCTAGATCTACTTTGGGAAGTGTTGTAATTCTGTTGAAACTGCACGAAATGAAACACTGGACAATGTAGTAGCACATTATATTAAAAAAATCACAGTAGTATTATACAAGTGTAATTGCATCTCTTTGTTGGCTACAGGTACTTTCAAAGATCTTTTCAAGACTAGTTTATCAGCTGTTTAGGGAGAAGTTCAATAAAAATGACCTGTCTTTCACATACAGTCTTTTTTATCTTATGTTACCAACTCATGTTACAGATAATATTATCAAAAAATAACATTCCACATTTGATGGGACTCTTGGAGACCTAGGGGGCCAAGTTTTTTAAATATCCATTGTTAAATGAGGTGTGCTCTCCCAGTTAGCGTCATTCCTCATTTTCAGTAATAGTATTAGGCAGCAATGACTGGATCAATATACTATTGGCAATCCAAGAACAAACAGTGTTACTTGGTTTAGATGGATAGTTTAGGCTCACCCAAGAGTACAGCGCGACTAGAACCAGGAGATCCTGGGTGATTAAACACACAATTTTAACTAGTCATCAGGGTTTGTGGAAAATATGAAGGTTAAAAATACATCAGGCTTTCTTCCTGCCATTTTTATTTAACCCTAGAGATCTTGGGCAATGGGAAGACAGATTAGATAGAGGAGAGTGCTTATTTTTCATGGCTAAATATGTAAAGGGGGGGGGGGCACGAAGCCATGCCAGCTTAGATTGTGAACTTGTCAGATCGTACAGGCTTAATGTGGCTGCCCAGGTTAGAACCTGGATGAGACCTTTCAGAAAACTTTAAATGACACTAGCAGTAATGTTGGTGACATAGTAGGTGGGACTCTTCTCTTTGGTCCAATAGTGAACGCATGCCCTGACATATTTTAAAGGGGAATTGTATTACTGCTAGTACCATTTTTTTGGATGAGACACAAAACTGAGGTCCTTACCATTGATCTCACGGTACTTTCTGAAAGAGGAGGGATGTAATCCCCAGTATTCCAGACAAATTCAAATGTTGGAAGTTACCGTGGACAGTCAACTCACTTAAAATTCCCCGTAATTTCAGTTTTCAAAGTTCTTCCCTTCCCTTAAACAATGCTGTATAGTGTTACTGACACAGAACAGATTCCAGTGTAGGCTGAATGAAGTGATCCGTATGAATACCACCTTTAAAACACTTATATAGTGCCTTTTGTCCTACAGACTAGCTAAATCTTAAATATTTTATTAAATGAACTATTGATTTCTAAATTTGAGTTACATGGCCTTTTTTTTGTTTTTTGTTTCCAACTTTCAGCTTTGCTTTGGATAAATTAAATGGGGATGTTTGGACATAGACATGGAGGGATAAACATGAGGTTTTGGGTGAAGTCCTGGATCTATTACATAAATGGCAAAACTCCCATTAGTTTTAATGGGGGATTTCATCCTTTATTTGCTGGCAAGAGCTAGAATGTATGTATGGACTGACTGCACAGGGCTATTTCTGATAGTGTATTGTACTCTGTTAAAATAACAACAAAAACTCTGGATGGGCTGAAAGATAGTGTAAGTCACAGTGGTGGACACGCAGTTAGCTGAGTAGTATATTCTATGTACCTGGAACCTCAATAGCTTATAACCTTATGCAAGTACAATATAAAATAGTACATCAATATAATCACACCCTTGTTAAGGTATTTAATATGGGGGGGTCACAGCAAATAAACTATACTAAATAAATTATTGGGAAGAAAGGTATCCACACCAAATTTTAACTAAAATCATTGAACCAAATAAAACTGAAGTGCCCAGCATTGAAAACTGAATATACTAAATATAGTGCAATGGATGCTCATAATTTTAAATTTGCTACACATAAGTCTTATGTGGATATAGTTCCTACCTTTATACAAAGGGAACTAGGAAGGGTGGAAAAGATGTTTCATGTGTTCCTGACAGTTGGAACACATGTGATCAAAAGGAATGGAAGGTCATCATTCTCTCACTTAATGTTTATTACTGAAACTGAGGCAAAGGCATTTGTTTTCAGGAATAAGTTAAAGATATTTTATGATAGATGATTGCCTTTTTATATATGTATTAATGCCAAGGTCAATGGTTTCATCTGATAAAAGACAGAAGATGGGCTGGGTTTTCTTTTCTCTAACACATTACTACAATACTGTATGAGCAAAGATGTGGGAATTACTGATAGAGTTGGGATGATATGCAAAGTATTTTTTTACCTTTCCTTTCAGTTGATGCTGATGTACTGTTTCCACTTTGTATAATACATAATGCCTCCCTTTTCTGGGTTTCCTTCTCCTCTGAACAGTGTTCAGTATTGCCAACCCTAAGCAGTCAGCCATCATGAGTCAGGCTCCCAAAATCATGAGACTGGATTAAACCACCCCACCCCCCCTCTTTTTTTGTTTTTTGTTTTGTTTTGTTACAATAATACATTTTGTGTTATTTTTATTTGCCACTGGGTTTTGTGCTATTACGGTTCATGTTTACAAGCCTCATTCTGTAACCATGAGGACTAGAAACATTTTTAGAAAAGAGAGAGTGGAGATTCTTATGTAATACCATTACTCCAGGAGCTGGAGCTTTAAGGAAAAACACCAGATATCGCTAGTCTCCTAAGACAATCTTCAGATAACAGCAAGTATATAAAGGAAATGTAAATTGGGAGGTTTGGGTGTGGGAGTAGGAACAATTAAGGGAATCATACTAATGTATTAGACAAATTCATTAAGAAGAACTTCCCCCCACAGTTTAATTTGCAAGAGAACTGTGTTTGCATATCATATTAATACGTTATGCTGACCTTGGAATAAGAAGTCATGTAATATAATTCTTAATACACGTGGGCAAAAAGTTACAATATGATATTTCCTTAATTATAATTCTGGAAGTAAACTCAATTACATATAAAACTCTCCCACACAGAAAAGATTTAAGCACAATAATTTCTGTGAGGATCTTTGCAGACAACGAACTGTTCCTGTCTTATGATAATGAAATAACTTACATATCCACTTTGTAAAGGCTAACATGCATTATTTTATTATCAAGAAAGAATCCCCTTTGTTCTTTAATAATCTATTCAGTAGTTACGGAAGGTGAATACCAGTAGGATACAAAATATAGACTATTTGGATACAGAAAACATTATATTTCTTAGTTTTCATGGCAGCTTACAAAAGCTGCTGTATGAAACAAAAGGAAATCACAAAATAATAAATATTAGGATATGTTGATAAATTATAGACAGTCAAATTCTGTTCTCAGTTACATGCATTTAGATCTATTACTGACTTCAGTGGAGTAGAACAGGTGTAACAAGGAACAGACTTTGGTTCAAAGATGTTAGCTTTGCTCATGTTTAAGTCATTAATTTACTAATGCACTTTTAGTGTCAGTTCTCACATGAAAGAATCAGTATCTTCTCCTGATGATAAGGGCCCTTCAGTGGGATATCAGATATATATATAGTATTTTGGGAAATTGGATGTCTCAGGGATTTGGTAATGATATATACAGCCTTTAGAACCTGTAGCTCATTAGTTCAAATCAAATCTTGTCCAGGTCAGTAGTGACTGAAAGTCAGTACTATCAGAAACATGTCTAATTGACTATGTGAAATTAGTCAGTGGTCAACCTAACTGTCAGGGAACAAGCATTCCTATCACCACAGTTGGTGATATGAGTAGAGGAACGGAAATGGAAACTGAACTGCATTTTCACTTAAAACATGGTTCCCCGTTGAGGGCCAAGGCACAAGGCAGGTTCAGTGAGGAGAACTGCTGCTGACCACGCCGTACCTGTTCTGAGGTAGACGGACTGGTCTATCCTCCATGGTGATCAACCCAGCACCTTTTCACAAGCATTAAATTCACCCAGATGAAAATTCAATAGATACGGGCACAGACTGTGTCCTGAGCCAAGATACAGTCAGTACAGAAGGTGTTATCAGGGAGCAACTTAAGCCTTCTTGATTCTTATGGTACCTTTGCAGCATCAAGGCTCAAGGCTCCTCTAATTAATGCCAACTGGCTATGAGCGCAATAGGACCATACTACAATTGTGAATTGGTGTTGTGCAGGCATGCTGTGCCTCACCCCAGGACACCCCATATTAGTGTGTGTATGTGTGTAGGGGGGGCAACTGCCACAGAAGCTGGCTTTTCCACTTTACATCAGCTGAGAGCTCCCCATGTCCACAGGAATCCTCAGCCAGCCACCACGTGAGAGTGGTATACAGTTGCCAGAGGAGGAGGAGGAGGAGAGAACCTAGTCCAGATACTACACACATTACTTAGGAATCAATTTACATTGATTGCAACTTACATTGCTCCTCTGCAGCATGGGGGATGGGTCACTTGCGGATTTTAACTAGTGTA